AAACCAAATTAAAGCTGGAAGTTTGGAAGGGGATTTTTAAGGGAAAGGAGAATTCACTCAAGTTTTCTAACCTGCTATTGACTGAGAGCCACACCAGACACGTCGTCAAGAGCTGAGACCAAGTTAAAGACTGGATCAGCAAGAGGGGGCGTGTCAAGTTTGACTACTTGGTCTCAAGAGCAGGCATCCAATGAAAACCACATGTGAATTCTCCATCTCCCGTACTGGAGAATATATATTTAAATCTAAATATCTCACAGACATTACATTTGTGCCAACTCTGAGCTAAATCACTGTATACAGAATAACAATAATCCAGCATTTGAAAGCTGAAGGTATTGGGGCCTATTTCCAAATCTGAACCTTCACTGTAAAATACAAACCAAGTTACTTTATGATTTGAAAGCATGAATGTCTACATTTATTTCAAATATAGGTAGTCCTCGACTTACGATCACAATTCGGCCCCAAATTTCTATTGCTAAGCAAGAAAGCTAAAGTAAATTTTATGACCTTTCTTGCCACAGTTGTTAAGTGAATCACTGCAGTTGTTATGTGAATTTGGCTTCCCCATTGACTTTGTGTGTTAAAAGGTAGCAAAAGGGAATCACATGACTCCAGAACACTGCAACTGTCATAAATATGAGTCAATTATCAAGTATCTGAATTTTGATCGCAAGACCATGGGAATGGTGCAACGGTCATAAGTGTGAAAACTGTCATGTCACTTTTTTCAGTGCCGTTATAAGGTCAGTCACTAAATGAATTGTTGTAAGTCGAAGAGTACCTGTAGATGGTATCTCTTAATAAAACACAAGCTATGAAAACTTCAGATAAGTTCCATTTATCATTTTTAAAATTTTCTTGCTTCAGTTTTAGAAATGTCAGCTACAACGACTATTATGTATCACTGTACTTTAGAATGTTACATCTGGTTCTCACTGTGTGACCTCAACAACTTGTGTGCTGTTTTCCTAGCTTACCGAAAAAGCCAGTGGCATGTATGGTCGCCGTCGAACTAATTTTTTACGATCTCTTTCCATCTTCTCCTTCTGAGCCAACTGTTGATAATATTCCACCAGTTTATTAATCTATATAAAAAGAAACATTTTAAGCTATTCATGTGAAGGGACATTCTTTACAATATTTTTTTTTCTGAATTCACTCTGAACATTTTTTAAAAAAAACCTTTCATTGCATTTACAAATCTTCACATAGTGGAGTTTAAAATTTACTCTTTCTCTTCCTAGCAACTCTTTCTCCCCCTATTTATTTACTTTATAGAATATTTTATGTTTAATTTGTGCCACTATTCCTACATATTTACCCATCTGAATGGACTTTACTGTTCTTTAGTAGAGGCTAAACACAGAGAAATGGAACAAATCAATACATTCCTGATTTATTTCACTTTCATATTTCCTAGTAAATTAATTTATTCCTGAATATATTTCTTTTCGTTACCTTTTGTGTATAAGGATTTTCAGGTTCCTGCCAACCTCCACTGGCTGCAATGTAACAAAAAATAACATGAACGATTAAGAAGAAGGGTATCATGAAACACATGTTCTAGTCAAAAATAAACTATACAGATAGTAACCATCTGCTTCTCTCCTCTGCCAAATCCATCACTGGCCTAATACTGTATATATGTTATTTAGAATGACATAATACTGTGTGCTTCATCACTGTATGAGTCAGAAAGCAGCTTGTGTTTCTTATCTAGTAACTGAAAGTTGGTTAATGTGAACATAGGGACATAAAATATCGATGACAGATCAGCAAATCAAACACAGGTGATAAAAATCTATTTTGTACCTTCCATTTTTCCCTTGCAAATTTCCCTATTGCCAGGGAATTGTATTGTTACAATTAGCACACAGTGAAAAAAGGGGAGAAGGCACAGACATCTATGCAGATAACAAGGGGATTCTGCTGATTTGGTAATTTTTTCTGCACATAGTGGAGACCAGCCCTCCCTGAAAGAAAAGTGGAAGGCAGACAAATTCTTTTTTCCTTCAAATTTCTTGCCATTAATAAGGGTTCCCAAATTTTCCATAATACCCAACAAAAATAACTGAGGCTTAAACTTTATCTTTTTCTTAAAGACATTTTGAATGTTCCACCAAATCTTTATCCAAAATGCTTTAACCGCCCTACAAGTCCACCACACATGAAAATAAGTTGCATCTAAATTTCCACATCTCCAACACTTAGGTTGTAAATTAGAATACATACGAGACAA